TAGTTACCTTGTATTACCTTGTAGTCGGGAGACACTAAAATTAATAGCCTAAGCTCAATTTAGCACAAAAAAACTTATTTTATTTTTAACATAGCCTCTACTTAAATCCAAACTTCAATCGTTGAAGAATACCAATAAATCTCACATAGATATTGAACGCACTAAGGTTAACCATTTATGGAGACGGGTTTAAACAATTACATTGAATATTGATAATCCAATTATATGTAGCAGGCGTAATCCATATTTACTTCTCTCAGCCTTCTTAAAAAAATATATGATCACCTTTTAACAAAAATCTTTGAAAGAAAGGTAATATAAACTTGTTATTTTTTACATGTAAGTTACTTAAAATATGGTACAAGACCATTAAATTCCACTAAAATAAATGTAAACCTCAACGTTAGTCAGTTGTACTTCCGCAACAACCATAAAAAAGTGAATGTTAATGCAATTTCTGACCCTACATTCAAAATCCATTAGGCTCTTTGTGCTTAGCTATAAAAGGAGTAAATGAACAATTACGTACATGCAACACATGTTGTTGAATATAACGAAATAATAGCATGTGATGTGTAACGGTCATATTAGGTGATAATGGCGTTGTTCTTTAAAACCGTAGGATCGAAAAACGTGTATTCTGAATACAATGTGGTTTTAGTTTAGTTTAAGAGGATCATAGCTTTGGTGTACAGTAAAAACATCAATGATTCGAATTTGTGTGTTAATTTGAATCCTACCATAAAATGATTATTAAACTCTACACAGTGATCTTTACGATTAACCAAAGTAAAATGTACGTAGTGATTTTGGATTTCAGTAAGTAAAAGAAATTACAGAATTTGTTATTTATAGTGATGGTTATGCCATTAAAGTATTATATTGTCTGTGGTTATGCTATTTGCTTATTGGGTAAACATGGCCACCGTTGATGAGTGTACCATGATGTTACATTGTTGGAAATACAGGTGCAGAAGTGAACAATCAATGCTATACAAGGCTCCCTAGGCGTACAGCAATGTTGGATGTGACATTTTGTGATTTGCATTTACACAACCACGCTGTTTACTTGGAAAAAAATCACGTGACACTAAAAACATTTTGTACACCATTAAAATACCTAAACTTTACATTCACATTGCGAATTGGTAATGTTATATTTGACAATTTTCTTTTCTTTTAATATCTTTAACATTTTGATTTGGGATGGTATTTAAGAGAAGATAATAGTTTGCTACCTTTTACTTGTTAATGTTTTTCAACGCCTTAAGTTTTTTAGCGAATTTCCCTATAGGGAAGTAGCTATTACCGTAGGTGGCACGGTAAGACCTAGACCCGGGACCGATTTACTTTTTCATTTTGATGTCCCCAGAGGCCAAAAACACCATTCGTTCAAATTTTTATATATGTATATATATATATATAGACTTATATATATATATATATATATATATACGTCCGTGAACGCGATAACTTGAGTACTTTTTGTCCGATTTTGATGAAATTTGGTTTAAAGGTGTAAAGCGGGATAAACTTGACTGAGTTCGCGAATCAGCATGATCGGACCATGGGAACGGGGCTTTACGGGGGGTTTTATGGGGTAAAAATTGGTTTTTCTCACTTTTGACCATCAAAACACAAAATTTCCCAATTTCTCTTTAGACAATTTTAAAGAGCTTAAAAAAACAAATAATTTAGTATATAAAAGTATTTTTGTTCGGTTATTAGTAACGGAGAAAATTAAAAAAAAATTAAATTTAAAATTCCCATGTTTTTCTTAGGGAGAATATTGTCAAATGTTGTAGTTTGCTTGTTTATGGATATATTTTGATAAAACTTGGCAAATTTATTTATTTTGTACTAAGCTATCAATATTTTACTCAAAAACACATTTTATTAGTTTCCTTGTAGCAGCAAACCTAGGTACTCGTTAAACCTAATGTTATCAAAATATATTTAACTGAAAATCAATTCAGACAAATGGAAATTCGCTTAGTCGGCAGGTTTGCTGCGGCGGTGGTATTTTTTTTTTTTTTTGTAAGAGAATGGTCCGAAAAGTCTAAGTTTCATTATAAATATTTAAATGGAAACGAATCGTCATACCAGGCTATTGAATGATTTCATATATTACCCAAAATTTGATAACGAATAGTTTTATTATTCGTTAGTTACACCACTTAAGAACATGACTCTCTTAAGTTTTTGTAATAGTTCAATAAAATTGATTGCCTTGAATTCCCACGAAGATTTAACTCCTGAAAAACAAAATATAATACTTCAAATAATATTGTAATAATATTCAATACAGCACACTCTTGTAGTAAAATTGTAGTATGAATTAATTGTTAACATAATATTTGTAAAACATAACATTCCTTGTATTTAAAAAATACCAAAACATTTTCGAGATTGTAAAGTTTTGATCATAAAAAATTTCACATTTTCATTTTTTTCAAACCAAGTCTTAATTACTGTTATAATATATTGTACTGCCCACTAAAGGTAACAAACCGCAAAGGATCAACATTTTTTGAGGTGTAACTCTAAATATAGCATTACAAAGTTTTATTTCTTACCACACATTCACAACCTATACCCATTACTTTGCCCTAAAATATTCATTTAGATTGTTTAATCTTTGACTAAGGAGAATTAAAACTTTTAATTCTCTTTTAATTTTAATTAACTTTTAATATGGTTTAATACAACAGTATATGGGAAAGTGTATGGGTTGCCTACCATACTACCATCAGTCTATTGCATAGTATGTGGTTTTCCTGTAAATGTAACTTACTACTTTAACAAGTGATGTACGATGGTAAGATTAGTTTCAGATGTAATCGACAGAGAAGCTGACATGATCAAGTTTGACAGCTGACACTAGAACCTACTCAATTACTGAACACAACTCGTGACCGAGTCGATAACTAAGTACTAAGTAATCGTAGTTAAGTTAACCCGAGTTCCAACTAAACTTCCCAACACAACTGGGATTCCAGAGAAAATCTTAAGTGTACTTACTTTAATCTATGTATTAAGCTAGGATGGACTTGAACTATATAAAGTTTTACAAAGTTTAATGTGATGTGCAGGTTAGTATGTACTAAAGGTTAAACGGTAACTGAATTATGTTTCCAAATAAATTATAAACAATTAAGTAATAGAATGTAAGGTAAAAGTAATAATGAAGGTAGTTTGTTCAACGTTTCGCCGTATGTTAATGTTAATATGTTAATAACATGTTGTCTCGTCACAACAATGCACAAGAAAACCTGATTGACCAATTTTCATGAATAAAATTAGTTGAAATTTACACCACTAATGAGCCTCACTAGACATTTTGTTTCCGCCATTGTTTTGAGAACAAATGTTACCAGATGTAAAACACAGAAAAGGCTTGTAACACAGATATAATTTGTAGAGAGTACTAAATGTAAGTCAAAGACATTTTGCTAAGACAAGACGACCTTAGGAGAGCGAAACGCTATATTATGTTATATAGTCTGGTAAAATTTCCAGTTACAAATAACTGTCAAGCAACTTTAAAAAAATTACCAAATAAATTTATTTTTGTTATTCATAAAGCTAAACAATTTAAACTTGAGAAGTCCTCTATCCTAGAAAAAAACGGCAATACTACAAAAACACTTATCCAACACAGTTTACTTTACGAAATGTAACTGTACAGTAGTGACTTATTAAGTATGAATCAATAAACGGGTTCATGAATTAATCCTGATTGGTTTCATTAGGTTAGTTGATAAGTAAAGCTACCTGAGTAGGGTGTCGTTATTTGAATAACGACATCAGTAAAAGAGGTGTTTAACCCTAATGACCATCACAAACAGTTAACAGCGGTTAAGATTTATCGGTTATTTCGAGTGCCATCACTGGCAGAACTTAAACCATTAGATTTATCAATAATTGATGGGGCAGTTCTAAAGTTGTGGTTGAATCTCGAATGTTGATCTGCATGTATTTTAATTGATGGAGTTAAAGAGCGTGGAGGAAAGAGGGTGGTTATATTTGGTGAACAATAAACAAGTTCATTTGAGATGTATGTTTTCAGTGGTGACAAAAGATTTCGTAAAAGAAGTTTTGTCGTCATCGGTTTAACACGTTCGCTACTGCAATAGTACGAAATTTTTCATTCGCATGGACCAGCGACGCACATATGCGACGTCCGGCTTCCACCCATAGACTGCCGTCGCATATTTGCGTCGGTGTTCTAATGTTATTAAAATGCTTATATCTTTGTAGTGGTCTATTTGAAGGGTGAGGTTCATAACTCCAAGTTTTCATAACTCCAAGTACTTTTAAATACAACATTTCATAACTCCAAGTAAAATTATGTCCAAGTAAATTAAAACCAAAATATCATAAGACCAAGTTTCATAACTCCAAGCGTTCATAACTCCAAGATTCATAAGTCCAAGTTAAAATAAAACCAAGTAAATTAAAATACAAAATTTCATAACTCCAAACGTACAGATTTGCAAGGACCACAAGTCCAAGTTTCATAACTCCAAGGGTTCATAACACCAAGTTTCATAACTCCAAGTTACAATGGGTACAGTCCGTGCAGGAAGCGATAACGTACGCACACACACGCACCCATTACACACACACACATGCTGGAAGAGAGTTTCCGATGTTGGCGAGATTATTCGAAGTGGTGCGTTCCCTGTCGCTTTGCACGTTCGTCTAAATTGTAATACAAATAGTGAGAGGATGAAATTTACATATTTAAATTCTGCGTAAACTGATGTTTAATACTATATAAATACAATTTAGTTCGTGCAGATGATTAATGTTTAATAATGGAAAATATGAAAAGGTTGTTCAATGTAAACATGAAAAAGTAAGTGAGCGAGGATTTTTTTTATTTTTTGGTCAGATGAAAACTTTCAGCGAGAAAAGTATAGATAGTAAGATGTTCTTCAATTTTTGTTCCAAACATTTTTTCGTAAGACTTTTAGTTTGTCCAATAATCGACTTAGATGACCACCACGAGGTATGAATGAATTAGTTTACGCGCACAGTATTTTAGCAATTGCCGTCTTCCAACAACAATATACAGTATTAGTTCACGTTTTAAAATTTCTAAACTATGAAAAATATTTAGTCTTAACTTCTTCAGCTGTATGTACGAAATTTCGAAATTTTTTCTACATAATATTCGTGGTGCACAACGCAAATAAGTCGTAGTGCCTTTTTTTCCACTATTTTTCATCTCCTATTTTCGGAAAAAAATTAAACAGCATTAATCCAGGTTAAGGTTTCATCTTGTAGCATTCATTTGTAAATATAAAATTTGATCATAGTTACAATTACTTGTTCCCTCATAAATCTTTATTCCGTATCAAATATGAGAGTGTATGTTAGCAAAGTAAATTGTACGCAAAATGTCTGTAGTGCATAATGGGTTTAATAAAAAAATACCATATTTAAAATTTTAAAAATACTATCTAGATTTGTATGATCCAAACAAGCGGATATAATCTATAGATAGGTCTAAAAATTTGGATTTCGAGACTAAATTATCATAGAAATAGGTTTTTGAGTAAATACATCTATACCTAATACCAGATTGTTTTATTTGAGTTAAATAGAAGGTATTTATCATTTAGGTATTATTGAAGTACCTTAAGGAGTTAAGTACTTTAATATAAGAATTGATGTCGTCCAGTGGTCAAAACTCGACCACAATCCAAATAAAATATGAACTTATCTATATTCATCCCACGCTGAAAATCAAACATGTGATGATTGTGTACCAGTCTTAAATTTGTTTTGATTTTCTGTATATTTATCGTTGTTATTGCGTCACCAGAATTTTAACTCATAATCCAAATGTTAGTTTTTTGTTTTAGCGAATTTCCCTATAGGGAAGTAGCTATTACCGTAGGTGGCACGGTAAGACCTAGACCCGGGACCGATTTACTTTTTCATTTTGATGTCCCCAGAGGCCAAACACACTATTCGTTCAAATTTATATATATATATATATATATATATAGACTTATATATATATACGTCCGTGAACGCGATAACTTGAGTAATTTTTGTCCGATTTTGATGAAATTTGGTTTAAAGGTGTAAAGCGGGATAAACTTGAATGAGTTCGCGAACCAGCACGATCGGACCATGGGAACGGGGCTTTACGGGGGGTTTTATGGGATAAAAATTGGTTTTTCTCACTTTTGACCCTCAAAACACAAAATTTCCCAATTTCTCTTTAAACCTTTTTAAAGAGCTTAAAAAAACAAATAATTTAGTATATTGTAACGAGCCAATTTTTTCAAGATACTTTTTACCTTCCTCCTTAAACCTTACGACTTTTTTCCGCCGTCCCCAATCAACTTCCGCCGCACCACACCACCTTTCCGCCGCCCCTAGTCAACTTCAGCCGCCTTACATCGCCTTCCGCTGCCCTACCGATCCTTCCGCCACGATCTCCGCCCATCTCCCTACCTCACGTCTCCTTTCCGCCGCCCCTAGTCCACCTCCGCCGCCCTACATCGCCTTCCGCCGCTCTACCGATCCTTCCGCCATGACCTCCGCCCATCTCCCTACCTCACGTCTCCTTTCCGCCGCTCCTAGTCAACTTCCGCCGCCTTACATCGCCTTCCGCTGCCCTATTGATCCTTCCACCACGATCTCCGCCCATCTCCCTACCTCACGTCTCCTTTCCGCCGCCCCTAGTCAACCTCCGCCGCCTTACCTCGCCTTCCGCCGCTCTACCGATCTTTCCGCCATGACCTCCGCCCATCTCCCTACCTCACGTCTCCTTTCCGCCGCCCCTAGTCAACCTCCGCCGCCCTACCTCGCCTTCCACCGCTCTACCGATCCTTCCGCCATCACCTCCGCCCATCTCCTTACCTTACGTCTCCTTTCCGCCGCTCCAATCAATGTCCGTCGCCCTACGTCGCTTTCCGCTGCCCTACCGATCCTTCCGCCACGACCTCCGCCCATCTCCCTACCTCACGTCTCCTTTCCGCCGCCCCTAGTCAACTTCCGCCGCACCGCATCGCATTCCGCTGCCCTACCTATCCTTCCGCCACGACCTCCGCCCATCTCCTTACCTTACGTCTCCTTTCCGCCGCTCCAATCAACTTCCGCCGCCTTACATCGCCTTCCGCTGCCCTACTGATCCTTCCGCCACGATCTCCGCCCATCTTCCTACCTCACGTCTCCTTTCCGCCACCCCTAGTCAACCTCCGCCGCCCTACATCGCCTTCCGCTGCCCTACCTATCCTTCCGCCATGACCTCCACCAATATCCGTACCCTACGTCTCCTTTCCGCCGCTCCAATCAACTTCCGCCGCCTTACATCGCCTTCCGCTGCCCTACCGATCCTTCCGCCCCGATCTCCGCCCATCTCTCTACCTCACGTCTCCTTTCCGCCGCCCCTAGTCAACTTCCGCCGCCTCACCTCGTCTTCCGCTGCCCTACTTATCCTTCCGCCATGACCTCCGCCAATATCCTTACCCTACGTCTCCTTTCCGCCGCCCTACATCGCTTTCCGCTGCCCTACCGATCCTTCCGCCACGACCGCCGCCCATCTCCCTACCTCACGTCTCCTTTCCGCCGCCGCTAGTCAACTTCCGCCGCCCCGCATCACATTCCGCTGTCCCACCTATCCTTCCGCCACGACTTCCGCCCATATCCTTACCCTACGACTCTTTTCCGCCACCCAAGAGCACCTTCCGCCGCTCCACGTCTCCTTCCGCCACCCGAAACCATCGATACCAATACCATTATGCCAGTTCCTGATCCTATCCGCCGAACCTAACCTCAATTTACATCCCCATTTGTTTCTATGTTAACTTAGGAACCGATCAGCTCTCCATGACAGCTGGGTTGCAACTGAGCAAAAACGCACTTCTGCGCATGCGCGACTTTCCCCCTCCAGGTGGACCAGATTTTCGCATAAAACCGCGGCAGCTGGGGACCTCAGTCTCAGTCGCTCCCGGGCAGTCGACAAGGAAACATCATTGGAGGTAATATTGCTAGAGAAATCCGAGCAATCCGTCCTTATTGCTAGAGAAATCCAAGCAATCCGTCCCTATTGCTAGAGAAATCCGAGCAACCTTTCCTATTGCTAGAGAAATCCAAGCAATCCGTCCCTATTGCTAGAGAAATCCAAGCAATCCGTCCCTATTGCTAGAGAAATCCAAGCAATCCGTCCCTATTGCTAGAGAAATCCAAGCAATCCGTCCCTATTGCTAGAGAAATCCGAGCAATCCGTCCCTATTGCTAGAGAAATCCGAGCAATCCGTCCCTATTGCTAGAGAAATCCGAGCAATCCGTCCTTATTGCTAGAGAAATCCAAGCAATCCGTCCCTATTGCTAGAGAAATCCGAGCAACCTTTCCTATTGCTAGAGAAATCCAAGCAATCCGTCCTTATTGCTAGAGAAATCCAAGCAATCCGTCCTTATTGCTAGAGAAATCCAAGCAATCCGTCCCTATTGCTAGAGAAATCCGAGCAATCCGTCCCTATTGCTAGAGAAATCCGAGCAATCCGTCCCTATTGCTAGAGAAATCCGAGCAATCCGTCCTTATTGCTAGAGAAATCCAAGCAATCCGTCCCTATTGCTAGAGCAATCCGAGCAATCCGTCCTTACTGCTAGAGAAATCCAAGCAATCCGTCCCTATTGCTAGAGCAATCCGAGCAATCCGTCGTTATTGCTAGAGAAATCCAAGCAATCCGTCCTTATTGCTAGAGCAATCCGAGCAATCCGTCCTTATTGCTAGAGCAATCCGAGCAATCCGTCCTTATTGCTAGAGCAATCCGAGCAATCCATCCTTATTGCTAGAGCAATCCGAGCAATCCGTCCTTATTGCTAGAGCAATCCGAGCAATCCGTCCTTATTGCTAGAGCAATCCAAGCAATCCGTTCCTGAGTGCTAGAGCAATCCGAGCAACCCGTCCCACGTGCTAGAGAAATCCCAGCAATCCAAGTTTATCCTTTGGCTATGATGAGTCAGGGCCATTTGGGAATCTTGTGATTCATTGCCAATATTCTGAGCCAATTCCAACTCCTTTTAACATCGACCCCTGGAATCAAAAACCCACCTACGACTTTGCTATCAAGGACAAGTGAGCAAGCTGCAAAAACGCTCCGTTCCGAAAATTCGTCACACATTTTGGCGCCCGAACAGGGACTCCGTGAGTCATCGATTCGTAGAAAAAGAATATCGAAAACACCTGGGAAAACAATTCGAATCTCTCGTTGGAAATGACGAAAGACAAATTGGACAACAATGATTTTCCTCCGCTCACTGCAAAGGAATCCACGGCTGACATCTTAGCGGCAGTCTTTTCCCCCGGAAAAAACAATGAAGTAACCCAAGTTGAAACCTCAACTACTCTTCCTGCCACTCTTAGCCAGGCTAGTCAACAGGACCAGCGTGTAAGTTGGGTATATCAATTGTCAAAGTCTCAAATTCAAGCTGAGCTGGAATCACGAAATTTAGACGCAAGTGGGAAGATGCAAGAGTTAAGAAGTCGCCTCGTCGAGCACATTCGAACTCCTGGTGTTACTCCAACGACGGAGAAAAATCAGTTACTTTTCCCCCCAGTGGACACGTTTGAAGGGGGGGCTTCAAACTCAAATCTGGACTCCAGCCTACTCAACAATATCATGATGATCGTTGGTTTACCCCCAAATTCTGAGGTCAACACCTTAAGAATGAGGCTCGCAGACCTCGCTGAGAAAGAAAGGTTTGTTCAGAAGGCATCAACATCCAACGCCTTTCCCGAACTTCAAAGATTTGTCAAGGAAAGAGCACCGCAAGAGTTGAAAATAAACCATCCTCCGTTTCCGGTGAAATTGAATTCAAACAACCAACCTCCCACGGATACGGCTAGTCTCTGCAATCAAGTAAGAAAGTGGAACATTCGTTTCGATGGATACACGGACCCCGTCTCATTTATGGAACGACTAAATGAACTAGTGGAAGCTTACGATATACCCCTAAATCGCATACTACAAGCGATGCCAGAAATCTTCAAAGGGAATGCCCTCCTCTGGTGGCGAAACAACAAGGAATTCTGCAGAAATTTCACTGAGTTTCAACGAGAATTTGAATTGCAGTTCCTACCTCCTGGCTATTACAAGAATTTAGATAGAGAAATACAGGATAGGACTCAAGGAGAACGGGAGACTTGTCGCCAATACGTTGTTGCAATCGTCACTCTAATTCGTCGTCGAGGAGGATATACTGAGGAAGACAAATTGGAAAAGATTTATGGGAACTTAAACGTTGTAGGCTACCAGTTTTTCTTGTCAATGTTGGAAGAAAACCAGTGGCTCTCTAAAGTGATAATCTAACTATTATAATTGTAAGAAAATTGCAATATAATAATAACATCTTAAATATAGTATTACTTTTCAAAATTAATCCAAAGAAAATCAAAATTACTCTGGCAAGTGTCATTTATGTGAAAACAATGGACATGGACTTCCAGAACTTCAACCCTTGCCTCTACACAGATCCTGCCAACTATTTGCAGTGTTAACATCACTTTATAGGACATTGTGCTTGACTTAAATTAAATTCATCCCAAAGTGTAATCTAAATTTTAAATTGTTTTAAATCAAAAGTATTAGGGACAAGTGCCTTGAAAAGTACCAAATTTTAACCAACCCCTATTTTATTTATTGCATGTGGTACAAAGGTGAAGACAGAGACTCCAAATTGGTAACCATAATCCATCTCGTTTAAATCACTAACTAAGGACAAATCGTCATTGGACTTTTTGAATCAGCATAGCCTAATAGGCCCAATTATAACTTAAACTCATCAAGATCTACATATTTCAAATTTAACCTTTATGCCAAATTCACACACACATATATTATATACAGTACAACATATGAGTTTGAACGAAGTGTGTATTGTCCTCTGGGGCTCTTAAAATGAAGATAAAAATCGGTTCCGGGTTTAGGTCTTACCATGAGATCTACGGTAATAGATTATTCCCTATTATGGGAATTTCGTTAAAAGTCTCAATTAGAGGTGACGGTATCCCTGGTTTTATGTAGTAGTACCTGGGAACCAAGCCATGACAGGGTAGTGGTATTAGTTTATTTCCATTGAACCCCTACATTGAGTAATCTTCAGTGTAATCTTTGCTCAATAGTAACAACTGGTGTTTTCCCCTTTGTACTGCATTCGTTAATTTGCTCGTAAAACCTTGGTGAACATAACAACACACTACAACTTAAAATAGTTCTATTAGTCTATGGTCATGGTTACTTGGAAACCAATGAGGCCAATGTTAAAAATTATAGACTTTCAATTCAATTTTGTTGCGTAGTTAGTTTTTTGCTAGCAGTTTTAACTGCAGTAAACACGTTTTTAGGCCAGATATAAATTATTTATCAAATTAGAAGGAAATCGTATTACCCGTTTTCGATATATAGAGGATTAACAACCATTAGTAATTGAACGGCGCAAAGCGAAGCTCTTATACTACTCTCCTCTTTTTGTTTTACAAATACCTCCTGAACGGCTGAAGCGATCTACACGAAATTTAGCACGATCGTAGTAACCAACCATGGGAATGTAAAAATCTTAAATGGTACAAATTGGACCACAGGGCTTTTCCCTACGTGAATTTATTTTTTTTATTTGAAATTTAACATGGGCCTTATGGGTTCATTGGTTGCTATGACTTTCTTTGCGAGATAACACTAAAAAGATAAACAAGAGTTGCCACATATGTTAGTCAAAGAATCGTTTAAAAAGTACATTACCGTATAGGACACAGAAAAAGGGAAGAACAATAAGATTAATATCATTGAGCATAATTTACTACAAAATGAAAACAACCAATAATTATGGTCGCCGGAATAAGGCTGAAACACCTTTGACTTTAAATAATCTAAATATCCATTACATTTTAACCAAATATAAGCCTACCATTGAGTTATATTTCCATTTAACTTGCAATTCCAAGTAGGCTTTCCATTTCAGTGAACTAGACTTACAATTAAATAATGCAGACTTTGAATAGGTACTGCAATAATTAGGACTTCCATTAATATGAACCGAAGATACCACTGAGTTTAGATGCTGCAAGTAGACATTCCAATTAACGTGAACCAGACGTAACATTGACTTAATATACTGCGAATCGACACT